GCCTTGGGAATAAAAGCATTCTCAGGAATTGCACGGTTGGACCATCTGATAATCCTCTTGCATTCTTGACTTTTGGAGTGGCACTAAGACAAATTCATGGAATGGTATGCTCTGTTTTGCACTGAACCTTAACATCATTCTAACCGGATCTTGATTTGTTTCCTGAAGTCGTAATTTATGTTTCAAGGATTTAAAATGTTTGGAACTGACAAATGGAATCAAATCAGGCTCTGTTTGTTTCGTGTTGCCCGCACCACAAAATTCCGACCTTTCAATCTTTGAGACAGACAAATTTGTGTTTTCTTGTGCTTCAGAATGTTGAATTTTGTTTTGCTACTTCGCGTGACTTTTGTGAAAGGTGGCATCTAGTATTTTAAGAAATCAAGCAATAACGTTTTTCCTAAATTTCCATTACTATTTTCTTCAAATTGTAATGGATCTCTGTATTTCAAAATGTCATGGAGTATTTGTATGGCATTCACTAAACAAGGGTGCTTTTCTGAGACATTAAGGACGTTTGCGTGACCTTTTGACCGTCATTCTGTGACGTCACAGTTTTCTTTGTTCAAGTTTTAGTAAGAGATTTGCCGCCCTTGCTACACAGAGATTGTACAGATAACAAAATTGCCGAAGATTGAAAGGGGTGTTACTGGAGTGTAACATATACAGAAAAGAAGGAGGAGAGATAAAGACAATAGCTGATGATTGATAGGAAAGAAGGAGCAATCCAAACCAGACCACCCTCCAACCACCCACAACACACGGACCATGCTGAGTCGCGCCGGTACAGTGGTGAGGAAGCAGAGGAGACGCTCCAGCACGGCCAGCAGGCACAGTGCACGCCGGGAGTCAGGAGCCACGCCCTCCCCGTCACTATGCCCCACCCCCTCCCCATACCCCTCCCCTTCTCCCTCTCCGAGCATCCAAGGTCTGGGTGGAGGGGACGGGGGCAGCTGCCGTCTGTACCCGGGCTCCCACAGCATGTCTCGGAGCCCGTCCCCCTGTCTGACCCCTCTCCCCGGACCGCACACGTACCTCAAGGCCGGCCATTTCACCTTTGATGCTCGCTCTCTCAACGGGCACATTTCCCCTGGAAAGGTCAGTAAGATTGTTACTTGCTTTCACATTGCCCATCTTGAAACACCCCCATCTTCCCTCCCCC